CTACTATTCCGCCCCTCTTACAATCAAGCTACCCCTCCTGCTATTCCGTCCCACTTACGATCAAGGTACCCTTCCTTCTGTCCCCAGCCTACTTACAATCAGGCTATCCCTGCTGCCAATCCCGCTCCACTTACATTCAAGCTAACCCTCCTGTTATTCCCGCTCAAATTATAATCAAGCTACCCCTCCTGCTATTCCGCCCCATTAACCATCAAGCTATCCCTCCTGTTATCCCATCCGACTTACAATGAAGCTACCCCTCCTACTATTCCGCCCCACTTACAATCAAGCTACCCCTCCTACTATTCCTGCTCAACTTACAATCACGCTACCCCTCCTGCTATTCCGCCCCACTTACAATCAAGCTACCCCTCCTGCTATTCCTGCTCAACTTACAATCAAGCTACCCCTCCTGCTATTCTGCCCCACAAACCATCAAGCTACCCCTCCTGCTATTCCGTCCCACTTAAAATCAAGCTACCCCTCCTACTATTCCGCCCCACTAACAATCAAGCTACCCCTCCTGCTATTCCGTCCCACTTACAATCAAGCTACCCTTCCTTCTGTCCCCACCCTACTTACAATCAAGCTACCCCTCCTGCTATTCCGCCCCACTTACAATCAAGCTTCCCCTCCTGCTATTCCCGCCCCACTTACAATCAAGCTTCTCTTCCTTCTGTCCCCACCCTACTTACAATCAAGCTACACATCTTGCTATTCCGCCCCACTTACAATCAAGCTTCCCCTCCTGCTATTCCGACCCACTTACATTTAGGCTACCCTTCCTTCTGTCCCCACCCTACTTACAATGAAGCTACACATCTTGCTATTCCGCGCCACTTACAATCAAGCTACCCTTCCTGCTATTCCGCCCCACTTACAATCAAGCTACACATCTTGCTATTCCGCCCCACTTACAATCAAGCTTCCCCTCCTGCTATTCCGCCCCACTTACAATCAAGCTACCCCTCCTGCTATTCCCACCCCACTTACAATCAAGCTTCCCTTCCTTCTGTCCCCACCCTACTTACAATCAAGCTAACCCTCCTGCTATTCCGCCCCACCTACAATCAAGCTTCCCCTCCTGCTATTCCGCCCCACTTACAATCAAGCTACAAAGAAGCATGTAATGTTACACACTGTGATTAATTTTCCTTAAACTTCTCTATTTCAGAAAAAAATTATTTTCTAAATAAACAATATTTTGAGAGAAGGTGAATAAGCATTGTTTATAAAAAATGTTATTGAAGTAGGAATATTTTTACAATATTATTGAATTATTCATTTCAGGACAGCAAGTCAACACAATGAAGTACTAGTATCCGGGTGACGGATGTCTGGTGGAGCTTTCTGCTGACAGTAACACAATGGTTACAAAGTGCGTCCTGCTATTCCGCCCCATTAACCATCAAGCTACCGCTCCCGTTATCCCATCCCACTTACAATGAAGCTACCCCTCCTGCTATTCCGCCCCACTTACAATCAAGCTACCCCTCCTGCTATTTCTGCTCAACTTACAATCAAGCTACCCCTCCTGCTATTCCGCCCCACTTACAATCAAGCTTCCCCTCCTGCTATTCCGCCCCACTTACAATCAAGCTTCTCTTCCTTCTGTCCCAACCTACTTACAATCAAGCTACACATCTTGCCATTCCGCCCCACTTACAATCAAGCTACCCTTCCTTCTGTCCCCACCCTACTTACAATCAAGCTACACATCTTGCTATTCCGCCCCACTTACAATCAAGCTTCCCCTCCTGCTATTCCGCCCCACTTACAATTAGGCTACCCTTCCTTCTGTCCCCACCCTACTTACAATCAAGCTACACATCTTGCTATTCCGCCCCACTTACAATCAAGCTTCCCCTTCTGCTATTCCCGCTCCACTTACAATCAAGCTTCCCTTGCTTCTGTCTCCACCCTACTTTCAATCAAGCTACACATCTTGCTATTCCGCCCCACTTACAATCAAGCTACTCCTCCTGCTATTCCGCCCCACTTACATTCAAGCTACACATCTTGCTATTCCGCCCCACTTACAATCAAGCCTCCCCTCCTGCTATTCCCGCCCCACTTACAATCAAGCTACCCCTCCTGCTATTCCCATCCCACTTACAATCAAGCTTCCCTTCCTTCTGTCCCCATCCTACTTACAATCAAGCTTCCCCTCCTGCTATTCCGCCCCACTTACAATCAAGCTCCCCTTCCTTCTGTCCCCACCCTACTTACAATCAAGCTACACATCTACCTATTCCGCCCCACTTACAATCAAGCTACCCCTCCTGCTATTCCGCCCCACTTACAATCAAGCTTCCCCTCCTGCTATTCCGCCCCACTTACAATCAAGCTAAAAAGAAGCATGTAATGCTACACACTGTGATTAATTTTCCTTAAACTTCTCTATTTCAGAAGAATGTTATTTTCTAAATAAGCAATATTTTGAGAGAAGGTGAATAAGCATTGTTTATAAAAAAATGTTATTGAAGTAGGAATATTTTTACAATATTATTGAATTATTCATTTCAGGACAGCGAGTCAACACAATGAAGTACTAGTATCCGGGTGACGGATGTCTGGAGGAGCTTTCTGCTGACAGTAACACAATGGTTACAATGTGCGTCCTGTCAAAGGACGATAAAGTGGAAAGCCATATTCATTCAATCAACAAATGTGCTTCCTGTCAGATTTTACTTAAATTGGACGAGGAAGTGAAAAGCCTTATTCACTCACAAAACAACATGGCCAATATTTATCAGACACTGAAAAACCACATTGTACCATTTGTTTACAAGCAAGAACATTATTTTCTACTGGAATTTAATTAGGGGCTTTTGACTGACAATGACACCCAGTCCATGTTAAGTTTTGAAAACCTATATTGTGAAGTATAAAGATATGAAAAGTTTGGTTTGTTTTTCTTTGTTAAATATGAGAAATCCAGATTGTTCCATCAACATAATTTGTACCGATACATATATTTTATCTTGGCTTGATTACCAATTGAAGTTGATTCCTTTTTATCTTTTGTTATTTTATCTGTACTCGTATCTGATCAAGACATTTTCAAACTATTCAGGATAAATGTATTAGTAGCTTCCTTTTGATATACAATTACCTATCATCATACAGGATTAGGTAAGGGTGTTCAAGAAGTTGATAGTTGTATCAATTCTTATATTTCTTCAATTTCATGCATTATTTATATTTATCAATTTTTAGTTTCCTTTTAACTCATTTTAAACAGTTCACACATTATTACTTTTGTCGTGCACGGTGCAATCTCAGTCGGCAATAATCAGTTAAGTAAGTGATGTTTAAAGAACAAGTAAAGTATCATCTGTCATTGAACACACTGAATAGAGTTATCGCCCCTTCTGAAGATTTATTTTGACACACGAATTATTTTCATAATTAACATTGTAATATGTTAAAATGAAAATCATAGCAGAAAAAGTTTATTTTGTCAATTGGACTCATGGCAAGACGATAGTGCGTTGTGCAGCAAACACCACTATGAAACGTGAAATAAACATGATCTCGATCTTGATCTCGAGTTCGCCAAGCATTGACTGAGCAATTTTGCAAAAGTACACTGACGTGTTTCATTTTATGCGGTTTATTTACGATACAAAACTTCTGTCATTGAATGTACTGTCACATTGTACCTATATGCCGACGAGGTTATGATAAAACAATCTATTTCTGAAATACGTATCTCGAATTGCACCTTTCGATTCACTTCCGGGATCCTGACAGCAAAATGCTAATTCCAGTGTATTACAGGCATATTTTAGTTGGACCTCACGATTAAATGTGAAATATCTTCTGTAATAGATACAGAGGATACCATTTTTTGTTTGTTTGAAATGTCCATCAATGAAATGCACAACATGCTGTCTGTTCCCTATGAGCTGATGCGACTCACTGCATGGAGCTATGCTCTCCAAGCCTCGTTTTCGATCCAAGATGGCGAAAGTGTGAAAAGGGTCAAAAGCCCGTGTTTTAAAACTGTATTGTTATGCTCAAATATGTTTCATAAATTGTTTTTAAATATGGTATACATGAATTGATTTTAAATATTACTTTGTTAAATGACTCAATTGTGAACACATTAAGCTTGGTCTAGTCGCTATATGGCTGACATAATGCCGATGCGACATGTTAAATGTTAACTCACTCACTCTCTCACTCACTCGAAAAGCAAAGCATAAAGAGTAATCAACATTGTAGGAAACTGGAAGCAATCCTGGATAATAAGATATGTTTGGCAAAATCTGGCCTTTCTACTGCTTTGTACCGTTGGGATGTTCACGTGATACTTCTTTGGAATGGTTTCAGTAAAAAATCTTGCACCACATTTTACCTATTCTAGACTTGTAAAAATTGGAAAAACATCAACGATACTTCAGCTATTGTTTAATTGAACCAGAAACGGCTTCGCATATGTTTTCCGATTGTTGCAGGGTAACACCGATTGGGCAGGAACTGGAGAAATGGACTTTTACAAAAATAGATGTTAGAATACAATTTACCAAACAACAGATTTTGCTCGGATTCCTACAAGGAAACAACGATCCTTTAAATCTTATACTAATACTCTTCAAAGAACTAATATTCAAATATAGAATCAGAGAAAGAAGTCCAACTTTCCAGTTCCTACAGTGGGAATTGTATCATTATTATATCGTTACATTAATGTGCGGCAATTTAAAGCTCAAGATTGGATATCTTTAACTTATTCTGGTCTTCGTTTCATCTTTTGTTTAATTGATTCATTTTGTCCATTTGATATACATAATAAAATCATCTTGTCTTGTATAATAAGGGACATTTATATATAGAATGCAACCAAAACATAAAACAAACGAATTAAAATTTGATCACAGTAAGAAAACCACGATTTTCGCAGAAAACATTCATGGATCGCAGTAACAAACGAACAGAATATTGCTGGCCTATGGCCACTACACCAATGAACATCACAAAAATGTTGCACTCACCAGACGAAAGATAAACGCTGGCTACCAGCAGCAACACGACACACAGCCCCGCCATGATCGACCGGCTCACACTAGGAAATACATGCTAGATATGTGACTGGGATTTTGTAAAGGTTAAGAAATATTAATGTGCAACATTACTTCCTTGTTCGAAACAGAACCGGACGGTAATGATGAACATGAGTGGAGGTGATGACGTCGTGTTGGCTTAGTTTGCTTGATTCACCCTATTGGGTCACCTTGTTATGTGTTCTAATTAGGAGATAAATATTTCGTTTTGTAAGATTTGAGTGATGTTATGCTGAATGGATGCACGGAAATTTCATTTGAACACGACGCCGTAAGTGGGAGTAATTTGTTATTAGTCCTATTACGGCGGCGTGTTTAAATGAAATTTCCGTATATCCATTTAGCATAACATATATCAAACCTTACAAAACGAAGTATTTAATTTACGTTAAGATTTTGGTCAATCTCTTTACGCTCTACGGAAACGCTGGCTGTATTTCCTAGTTCAGGGGCCATCTCTGGACGGTTTTCAGCTTCAACAGCTGTTGTGAGTAATAATAATAACAAAATTAGTTGGGTGTATGAAAGTCATAACTATTATAGAGTTGCAATAAATGTTTTTACTCTGTTAAAAAAATATTTTATTTTATTTTCCCTTTTGCCAAGCCCAAGAAAATTACATCATTTATGATTATAATTGGGTAATTAATGAAAAAAGGTAAATTTCATTTACCTTCAAATTCTTTAATTATCTCAGTAAATGTCTCGTTGTCCCAATCACTCAATATTTCATCGAAATCTCCTATGTGGAAGTCAGGGTAAATTTCCATCTGTTCCTCCATGTTGATGATTTCAAAAATAGTTCCATTTATTAATGTATACATACACGGGGATGAGACCCCCAAAAATCAGCGATGTTATGCTCATTCGACAACACTTTTTAACCAATCAGATCAGAGAACACTTTTATGTTACAATGCTATTCTAATGCACCTTTAAGTGTGCACATTTTACCACATGCTTAACTGTTCCAAAGGATCATTTTTGGATCCTTACTTTCTGAGTCGGCTTCTTGATGATGTTGCATTCTACTGTTGTTTCTATTCCAACCAGAAGATGCAAGGCAGGATTCGCAATGGTGTTGTGTATTTTTGTGTGTGTGTCTGTCTGTGTGTATGTGTTTAAAAGGTATTTTATGTTAAGCTTAATTTAAATTAGCATACGAGGATTTTATTCAATCCTGGTTTCTATAAGTTAGTTATGTCATTTAAGAAGTATCTGTAACCTAAACATATGAATTAAATTTAAATGGTATTAAATATTTAAAAACAATCAATGCCCATTGGTTGGTGAGAAGCCAGTTCTGTGCAGCCAGTTATCAATGATTGTTTTTGAACTACCATTGCATTGTTATATGTTTTATGTTCCACAACGCCTGCGTTTTTAATCGGGAAATTGAGGGGTATACCAATGGATAATGACTAGTGAGCGTCTTAAAATATTGGTTGAAAATATTAATATTAAATAGTCACACAGACAGATACATAAATGCAATTTGTAAAGCAGTAATGAATATGTCTGGTCTATCAGTAAGAGAAAATGGGCAGCTCGATTTGACAGACAGGTCATACGAATAGAGTTTTGGATACAGATGGATGGGACAAAATATTTTGAATCGCGATGGATTTGTTGATTAATTTAAACAGATACTATGAAATGTACCTGGCAAAATGTGGTGGAATCAGCTTTCATCACTCAAAGACACTGGACTCTAATTAGCTATATATTTATTGAGATGTAAAAAGTGTTTAACTGGTCTAGACCAAAGACAAGTAGCTTGCAAAACCAAAACCAAAAGTCTTGGCCCACGAACCTGGCGCCTACTTTTCCCAAAGCATTAAAATAAATAAATATTAATATAAATATATTCTTTTAATCTACGATAGAAATAAGCACGATATTCTTGAACGTGTTGCAAATAACGATTATGCATATGTATATACAAGTATTAACTACACAGAATGGTCTTAGTGCCTCAGAAACTGAAAGGAGAAAAGCAGGACCTGCGTATTAAACTTCATACGGCATCATAAGGCATTGACATTATGGAAAGTTCCCGAGGAATGTTTCATAGTCATAGACGAAGTTGTATTGTTCTGTGTGAAACAATTGAAGGAAAATGAAGGATAATGTTGTTCCTTATTTTAATTTCAGCCTATTGTTTAACTGATATTTGAAATATTAAATTCACACGTTAACATCAACCTTTCCCCTTCGAACATTAACTGATAGATATTCATGCACATGTCCTACCTTACAATTTTCCTGTTTACCACAACCAAGAAAGGCTTGTTTATACAGGGAACTGCCCTTATACCATTGCAAAATCCAGTGGTAATACAGATACCGATCACTTGCATTGGTAGTATGTGGTTCTTTGTCTAAATAATTTCTCACGTCAATAAAATCAAATCACATTGCCACCTGCAGAGGACACTTTGATGATCGAATATAACTACGCTTTGTTTACAGAGCATGTAGGCGTATCCAGTTTGTGTATAAATGGCATGGGTGCCTAAAGGCTTAAAAAGATGTCAAAAACATCCATCAGTGTCTTCAAACAATGCATTTTATCTAAAGAGCATTGGAAACGTATAACAGCCATATGACGTTAACCGTCGAGATATGTTTAGAGAGTTCTTATAAATCTAGGATAACCAATAGCTGACAAAGTTCGTCAGCATGTTATGAATACATAAAACAAAATTTTAATATTAAACACATGATTATCCTCATTCTATGTGCACCAAAATGAAGCGTAATATGCAGTAGATAAATACTCCTAGTGTAAATATAAAATATCAATGCCATAGAATAACCGATCTGGATTATACGCCAGGAACAGATTCCATTGGGCGTAAACGGTGAAACATCAGGAAAAAGTATATGACTGGATCACTGACAGTTGGTGATGACATCAGGTGTTGGAGGAAAGGGTAAGTATGTCATGCCCTACCGGTTACACCTGTCATTCACCAAATTTCCATACAAAGGTAAATGTTTGTGGTGTACTCATGCCATGTGACGGCGGCTTGAAATCAAGCCAGGCACTGAAGTGATGGCCCACACACTCTATAAAAGGTACTGAACAACAATGCTTTGTATCTGTGTACATTCCTGCGAACAGTATACACCCATAATTGTGTTCCCCTTGGTCCATCTCGGCACAATATCACATGTTTTGTTCGTACGCAGAGGGGCGTGTCTTTCAAACAAATCCTACAAGTCAAGGTCGTTGGGGCCACACTGCCAATAACACGAAGTTTGATATTAAAGAAAATATTTACTTGAATTTCAGGCAGCGGTAAAAGACATTGCTGTTAATTCATACAGTGAAACCGAAAAGCGAAAACTGATATTATATACATTTGAAGTAGGTTGTGTTAATGAAATTTGAATTTGTCGTATTAACGTTAATCTAGTGAATTGAATTATACTCCTTATGTCTTTACCTACACATGGCTCAAGATCGTGAAGTTGCAAATAGGATTCCAGAGAATACCAATTGTGTAGGTACGACCAACTTAAAGAGGAAAAACAAAACGACAAGAACAAGAAGACGCCGAAACCGATCAGTACGAACAACCAGTGACCATGGACAGGTCAGAGAGTGTTATTTCAAGCAAGTCACTGGCCATCCTTCATATTAAGTGACCTTGGTCAAGGCAAACATGGTTTAGTTATACTTTATGTCACACATGTGGGGGTATTTCTAATTAAATAAAAGCGATAGACATCTTTCCATTATGTTAAGACATGCCTTTTAAAAGCAAAGTCCATTGTATGATGTTGAGTATGTACTGAGTATGTACTGTGCTTATATATTTTTGATATGTTTATGAATCACTATCAACTAGATGGCACCAGGGTGAAAGGGTGAACGTACCCTGCCCGACAGGTGTGAATAACACACGCAAATGCAAGTCAAGTCTCCACATGAAAAAAGATATTGCAAAATAGGAAATTGCATAGGTCACAATTTTTGCCACCGATGTGTACAATTTGGAAATGCTCTCCACATTTGAATAAGGTAATCAACGTTCCCTGGCCAACCAGTATCGTTTACATTTGTTTGTTTGTCGCATGTGGTAACATCGCACCATCAGGAATATATTGCCTATGATGTTATTTCAGATATTCTGGTATGTTAACCACCAGAAAAATGATATACTTGATATTTTCTACTTTTCTTGATGATGGAGATTATTTGATAGTAGACTGATGTTACATGTGCTTGGATTCAATACATGTGTGAGATAGTAGGTTTACTTTTACCTCTGCTTTGAACTATTTCAATAATATACTGCTAAATATAATAATTATAAAGGTGAGTGTATGTGAACTTACGAACAGCGTATCCTGACCTAGCTGAAAGAAGTTAGTCAGACAATGCAGAGCTTTAGACGATTGACTCTGACAGCTGCCCCTGCTGATACTCCCACCTTAGACACATTCATCCTGCTCAACTGATACTATACACGACTGTCCCAGCTGATACCCTCAACCCACTCATCAACCGTTTCTGCTGATATTCCCAACCCACTGACAAATTGAGACAATGAGTCCGATGAGCAACAGAACACCCAACACAGTCAACATTGTCGGTCTGTTCCTCCTGATACTCCAATCACACTCACACTCGGGGGCTGTCACTGTTTCAAATCCCCTCCTGCCAAATCCTTACAGTGGTGGTTGGCGGAGTTGGCAATGAATATAGATCACAAAAAGGTTTGAAAACAACATCTAGTCATGAATAGAGTCTTTTCAAACACCTTTTTATAATGTTACATTTAACTTTCACTGTCATTTGTTTCAATGTGCCTGTTTCAGGAACATTCCATGTGTATGCAAAATATATTCCTTCTCTAAGTCCTGTAATATCCCCCAAACAGTCTGGTTATGGCCTAGAACATTATAACATCGCAAAAATACTACCGTATTACCCCTTTTAGACACTAGGTCATCAATAATTTCGCGAGAACTGTTGACCAAGCGTGCATTTTGAGACCTGGCTTACATCAGAGACCTAGCATGTAATAGTGGAAATATCAATACTTTTACCAGTTCCTATGGGTTATCGATTGGCAGCCATTTTTATATGAATGTATCAGTATGCTATCGATGTATTCATACGTACGTTTTTTGTGTGAAGAGGATTAATATATAACACGTCCCATTTTAATTCTGGAAACCCAAAAGTCCAGAAACTCTACGGTCTCTGCCGACTCTCGGTCAAAGGTATTTACAAAATTAAACATGCTGTTTTCATGGAAACATACCAAGGAAGAAAAAATGAAAAACAAATTGTTCAAAAACTCAATATTTACACTATGTTGCCCATGAGCCTGCCCATGGGCGAAGTGTGGCCAAGTGACAGCCCGACTGTGAGTGGGGTGGGAGTATCAGCAGGGACAGCCCGACTTTGTCGACTGTGTGGGGTGCTCTATTGCTCATCTGACGCACACTCATTATCCTGGCAAAAGCATACACATCTCCATCGAGACGGATCCTGCATCCGAGAACAGTGTGTCATGTGAACTGCGAGCCTCTCTCGCTCTCTTTGTTAGAGACATCTGATACTACACGATTCATCGACATTCGAGAATTTTCACTTCAGCAATTCGCCATGGCTCCCTATTATCAACATAATACCCTCTAACGCCGCAATATGATGTCAGGGCTGTCTGCATCGTTGACATACTGATGGATATGGGATTTCATCGGGGCGATTTTGCGGTAACAAATATCCTTTTCCGATTGTGCCTCGGCACAACAATAGAGAAAATTGTGGACTGCTTGGATATACCCTATCAAATGGCTAACTATCCTGACCCAACTGGAAATAGTGCGTTCTTCTTCTTAAAGACGTCATTTGAGACCAAGGCATGAATGCCTCTGCATACATTTCGTTTTGATGTAACTGAATGTAATGGATCAACACACTTTCTAGGCTTCAGCCAAATCAGTCCCAGTTAGTACCGATGTACAGGACAAATGGTCGATCTGTCCAGTTCATTCGCATTCTGTCTTTACATCGTTTAAAGGCACGTTGTTCCTTTGAAAATGCGTACGTAAGTCCTTGTTTCATGATTTCAGGTTTGACGATATTCAAATTATTTTTGTACGAGGGGAATAATTCACATTTTAAGGTTGAACATGTCGAAACTCCACATCGAATTGTAAGGGACGTCGCCATTTTGAGCGTCACAACGAAATTCCTCAAGGGAGAGAGTGACAGCACAAGGTGTCAGATCTTCATTTGGTCGTTTATAGCGACAGTTTGACACTTCGCATGAGGATCTTTGAGTGAGTTCTTCATAGAATCACAATACTTTGATGGTGTGATAAGTGCAAGGAAGGAGGCAGGGGGAGAGTTATATATGTGCCTATATTTCATGGGGGCCTTTTTCGTTATTGAAAGGCGCGGGCATTTCATTTTCAAGAGCTGTCGTAGATGAACCAATGGCATGAATTACATGTACAAGAACCAGCTCCCTGCAAAGTAAATGATACAGAGGTCTGAACATGGCGCATATTTTGGGCATAATATACAAGGCCACTTTGCAAGATTCTCTCGCTTGGAACTCCAATCTTCAAGTCCGGTTTATCGGAAATCCTTCATTGTCGACTGCCCATAAATCATTTGGGAAAGAGGACGTACTAATCACAAGGTTCAGGAAACAATCACACAATATCGTACATAATTGTTAAAATAAGGTTGAGATAAAACTGAAAATTACAGCTGCTGATAATATATTTACTAAACATCTTTAATGAAAATGCTATCCGCTAGAAATAAATGAAACTGTATTATGCTTTCATAGATTTTACCAAAGCACTTGGTACAGTGTGGAGGGTTAAACTTGGTCCAAATTACATAAAATTGGTATAAGAGGAAATTTTCACAAACTAATATGCACGTGATCTATAATAGGACATACAATCAAAGGTAAAATCAAACGTAACCTCATCCTCGTATTTCTCATTCAACTCTGGTGTAAGGCAGGAAGTAAAGGTGTACTCATAATATACCAAAATGATTTAGAATCATATTTATTTGAAACAGGATGTACAGGTATAAAAACCGAAAAGGAACAAGAAAGTGACATACTCATGTTGGTTCAACGTACTTTGCTGTTTCAGTGACACCAAGCAGCCTCGACAAAAACCATTAGATTCTTTTTATATGCATTGTTTTATCTTGAAACTAGGCGTTACCGTTTCAAAAACCAAAACTCTCTTATTTGGAAGAGGCCAAGTTATTAAGACAAAACTATCCTTTTACTTTAAAAAAATGTTATTGGAGATTGATGGTAACTTTGGCTATTTAAAAACAAACGAATGGTAACAAGTATTAAGTCATTGACTGAAAATGGAACACAGGCTATGTATTTTTTATTCAAACTATCCTGCCATGCAAAATTGCCATTTGTCTGCCTACTTTTGATGTTTAGGTTGCTCCTATGTTAAGGTAAGATACATAAATATATGGGTTTGAAAACCAAATATAATAGAAAACAGCCATATACATGCATTCTTTAAGTTAGCTAGCAAATTAAGAAACTCAAAACCTCATTTTATGGTATTCAGTAAACTCGGAAGAGAACCCATCTATGTTAAAATAAATAAACGAATAATAATTTTTTTGGCGTATATTAACCTATACTAGTGGACAGATGAACGTATCCAATGTACGTACTACATGTACATGTATATATAACTATGATGTGTCAAAATATAAATTAGACCATATTCCATACCCATGGGAATAGAGAATTTACTTGATAGATAGAGGTTATCACGCGAGTGTGTTTGGGGATGGTTAATATCCTGCATTAGGAATAAACATTGTATTTAGCGAGCCCTGGCGAAAATTGCCAACACTTATAAAATGCCTTAGCTACGTCACAGTTAGACACTGATTTTCAGTATATAAGACTGTTCTTTTGATAATGATAGCAATTATCCCTGTAGTCAATCTAGATTCCCGATGGTTAATTCTGACTTGATTGCCGAATGACAAGGGCGACGCCATGTTTGTTAATAAACACTGAAAGTAGTCCCCTCTTGACCTTTGATATTTGATCTCTATCCGCATATGACCCCAACGGATATCGTTATTATCCGTTGGCTTTATCCTGCCGAGAAACTTACTCATCATATTATAAATAAGGATTATCAGAAATATTTTTAGAATCCATGCTAAACAATTTGGCTAAATATCACGAATGGCCAAATAATTCAAAATGCTATACAACATTGACTTCATCAAATGTATCAGCGCTCAAACATTCGACCAGAAAATGTATTCACCTTTAAAATGAATTTCATCAAATCACTTTATGATATCACCTTTGTAAACATACATGTATTATATACATATATATATTATACGACAATATCTATGTGTAAGCCATCATCTGTATCATGTATATGAACTGTCTTGTAATTTATGTTCACCTTCAAAATGTTTTTCGTCAAATCAGTTCATGATATCGCCTTTGTAAACATATATGAATCATATAAATATATATTATACGACATGATTTATGTGTGATATGTCTTCTATATGATGTATATAAACTGTCTTGTAATTTATGTTCATGTATCACCGAGTGCGGTTGTTTCTGGGAGTAAACAGAATCCAGAATCCAGATAATAGATCTCTGTGTTGTCTTGCTACTTTCAATTCATTGTGTCTGTCCGTTAAAGTAAGTTGGCAATGATTGGTGATTTGGGAGTCGATACCTGGGTGCCACATACCGAAGCTAAACGTAGATTTGTTTTGATATAACTTTTAGAAACAATAATAACTTCAAGCTCGTGACTGAATAAGGTTTGTAAAATTAGTTAAACCATATTTTGACCAGGGATTTAACACACGTCTCCACATTTTGCGTACTTACACGCCCATTACGTGTTCCTCGTCCTTTTAATCATGGGTTGCTTTCCTGGTAATTTACAGTAAGTTGTTGTCCGACTTCAAATATGAACATTTCCTTGTGTACATGTGTACATTGTAAACGTTTGTAAAGTCATGCATCATATCGGAAAGGAAGGATATGGTTTTGAATAGTTCTTATGTCAACGTACTACCGGTACGAAGTTTAAAATGACCAGCGGTCTTCTACCAATTAAAATATTGTGTTCACATTGCTTTATCTTCACACATGATGATACTTATGTCATTTTATGTGTGGCTTAGCAAAAGACTCGGTCCCATTAAATCATCAGTTTAACCAATTCCCTTCGCCCTTTGCACGTTCGTTATTTTTTGCTCTTGGCTTTCAGTGTTTAATTGCACTATAACAGTCGTCACATAACAGTGAGTGTATGTCATCTATCAACCTTACAAGCCGCATGTAAAAATATGTGTCATACTGATAGATTATCATATGTATTACAGCAATGGACTAATAACAGTCAAATTATAGACATATTTCAGATATATTTTCCATTGTAAAACATATACACATTTTGATCCGTAACACTTTAACTGTCTACTTAGGGCGACAGCTTGAACAGGTGACTATTTCTATTTTTGAAATCAGTAATATTGTCTTTTTACAGCACAAACATGAAGAATTTAATGTGCAGCTATTGTTATGGTAGCCGAGAACTACAAACAAACCATTACGTCTGGGTATAGATATTGCAACAGTAAAACTTTTCAGTTGCTGATGTTTCCTGCCAGGCCTGAAACACTTCCAGGTTGTGTTTCCTCCAGTATAAGTGGTATGGTAGTTCATCACATGTTGGCGTAGATGTTCTGGGACTCGATGTACGCCGAGGCCATGTCGTAACACAGGGCAACGTCAGTCTGGAAGCATGAGATATGTAAGTGGTGTATAGGAATGTTCTTCTTTGGGGGCAACTGAAACCGACATGACATCAAATAATTATCTATTCTAGGACTCACGCTGTAATGACTGGTTGAAGGGTTAATGTTGTTTTGTATTTAAAGTTAGGTAGCCTCTATAAAGAATGGCGTAAAAACGTAATAACAATCATCTCGTGTCTGATACATTTGGACAAGGACCAGGTAACATCCTACTCTCAGACGACAACTGCTATAGTTTTGAAAATTGTGCCTGTGTAAATAAACTAGAATATATGGTTTGAAATCGCAACCGATTCGATTATGAACAATGTTCATACATATGCTTATAGATACCTTCATGTTAGTTTGTCTTATCTGTAATGTGAGGGTATTGTACGTCTATAACGGCATTAATGTTTTATACAAAATATGTCCTAACTCTTTAGTTAACACGCGGATATAGGTGTAGATACGTTCGTATAAATACAATGGCGTTGACAATGGATGTATTGTAACTAAATGATGATACTACCTGTGTGATGTCCTGGTCCAGACAGTGGGTCATAGCCCTCATGTTGTTGTAGATCTCAACTCGTTTGTCATGCTTCACACCTTGGATGATATTGCTCATGATGCACAACATGGCTCCATTCTGTTTGCCGCCATCGCTGAAACAACACAACGTGAGCCCATATCAAAAAGTAGAAGAAAACAGTTGGAGAGGGTAACATGTCATTTTAAAGCAACATCATAAGTGAGTGAGTGAATCGTGTTTACCTTCCAGTATTCCAGCTGTATCACGGTGGAATGTCAACAATCGTGTTTACGCCCCACTATCCCAGCTATATGATGGTGGAATGTCAACAATCGTGTTTACGCCTCGATATTCCAGCTATATCAGGGTGGAATGTCAACAATCGTGTTAACGACCACCTATTCCAGCTATATCAGGGTAGAATGTCAACAATCGTGTTTACGACCACCTTTTACAGCTATATCAGGGTAGAAGGTCCACAATCATGTTTATGCCTCACTATTCAAGCTATATCATGGTGGAATGTCAACAATCGTGTTTTTGCTATACCACGGTGGACAACTATATCACTGTGGACATCTATATCATGGTCGGCTGCTACATCACGTTGGGCTGCTATATCACGGGGGGCTGCTATATCACAGTGAACTTCTTTATCATGGTGGACTGCAAATATCACGGTTGGCTGCAGTATCACGGTGGACTCCCATATCACATTGAAGTGCTATAAAACCGTTAAGTGCTATATCACGGTGAAGTGCTATATCACGGTGAAGTGCTATATCACGGTGAAGTGCTATATCACGGTGAAGTGCTATATCACGGTGAAGTGCTATATCATGGTGGGCTGCAGTATTGCGGTAGACTGTTATATCAAGTTGGGCTGCTATATCATGGTGGGCTGCATTATCACGGTGGGCTGCTATATCACGGTGAAGTACTATATCACAGTGAGTTGCTATATCACAGTAGACTGCTATATGGCTGCTATATCACAGTGGGCTGCTATATCACGGTGGACTGCTATATTACGATGGGCTGCTTTAGTATAGACAAACATTTAGTCTATGAAATCTTATATTACACAATATCCTTGTTGACTCTAAAAAAATATTTAAAAAATCCCTATGCTGATTTCATATGTGGAAATGAGTGAGCTAAAGCTGGCTAGACTTGCATTTGTACACGCTTCTAGATTGTGGTTTTTTTTCATTAAATAAATATATTTCATAGTCATGGTGCAGGACTACTATATCACGGTGAAGTCCTATATCATGGTGGTCTGTAGTATGACGGGTGACTGCTATATCAAGGTAGGCTGCTATATCATGGTGAAGTGCTGTATCACGCTGAGGTGCTATATCACAGTGAAGTGCTATATCATGGTGGGCTGCTATATCATTGTTGACTGCTATATCACGTCGAAGTGCTGTATCATTGCAAAGTGCTATATCACGTCGAAGTGTTATCTCGTTGGGCTGCTATATCACGGTGAAGTGCAATATCACATTGAGGTGCTTTATAACGGTGGGCTGCTATATCATGGTGAAGTTCTATATCACGGTAGACTGCTATATCACGGTGAAGTTCTATATCACGGTAGACTGCTATATCATGGTGAAGTGCTATATCATGGTAGACTGCTATATCACGGTGAAGTGCTATATCACGGTAGACTGCTATATCACGGTGAAGTGCTATATCACGGTAGACTGCTATATCAAGGTGGGCTGCTACATCTCGGTGAAGTGCTATATCATGGTGGGCTGCAGTATCACGGTAGACTGCTATAACAAGGTGGGCTGCTATATCATGGTGAAGTGCTATATCACGTTGAGGTGCTATATCACGGTGAAGTGCTAAACGGTGAGCTGCAGAATCACGGTAGACTGCTATATCAAGGTCGGCTGCTATGTCATGGTGAAGTGCTTTTTCGCGCTGGGCTGTAATATCACGGCAGACTGCCTTATCACAGTCGGCTGCTATATCATGGTTAACTGCTAAATCACGGTAAACTGTCAACAATCGTGCTTTGTCCAAGCACATACTAGTTGTTAACCGACGGAACAAGCACCCTCGCCGAATGGTGTACAATGACACACCACTTACCATCCTTATCTTTTTATTGGGTCTTGTGATCCGTTCTGATCATGACACCGCACAGGGTTTCGATGTGTGGACACATAGGTGAGGATTACAAGGAATCAAATGTACCCATTCGGAAAATATAACCATTTATCAATTACATGTACCATGTGAAGATGACAATTTCATAAGGTACACAACAATTTAGTTACCTTAATTTCAGGTAAGAACTATAACGGAAATGTTTAGTCGGTGTGGTGTAGTTACTATCAGATATTCTAATTCAATAATTATTCCAAATATTACATTTTTATGATCTCATGCTTTATTCAGTTTAGACATTCAAGTAACTGATTTTAGGAATATCGTAATTCGACGGTTTGCAGGCAAGGAAAGCATGCCTGTCAAATCTGTCGTACTGGTGAAAGGCAGGTTTGCTACAGTCTTCATTCTTAATTCCTTTACCTATATAAGACAGTAACTGCGTGGGGGTTGACATTCCCTGTGTGGCGGTCGACTTGTTCCAGAAGCTCTAAGAAAGTCGAGGGAGATTCCGCGGGCAAGATATTCAAGATGTACACACGCACCACTGTTGGTGGAGAATTCTGCAAATGTATGGAGGAACGGTTTTGTTGATAATTATTTCTAGTTTATATCAAAATTGGTGTGATTTTGTCAAACAAATCTGTTACAAACGATAATGTTACTTCTAAAAAGTGTTTGAAAATCTGGTATGATGATTTGATGATGTTAGGCTAATCCTGTCAAGTGCATCGAGTGCACCGACGAGTCAAAATGGTCACTTTACTACGTATTTTCTTACTCTAAAAATAATTTTATCAGCGGGGCCAACTGAAAGGATATCCATGCACGTTCATCAAGGCAGTGTCTACTTACCTTCACCTGTCTTTGGATTTTGAGGAGGGTGATGTCACGGTTAATGGTGGTCTCTGTGGAGCACCTGACACTCACGTGATCCAGATCCAGGCTGTCTCCAGGGCATGGCACAAAATTGGACAGACTCTGAAACAAAGTCAACTTATATTATCTGGTAAAAACAATTATGGGAATGTGTAATCAATAAATGTTGCAGTTGGTTTTTTTTCTGAAATGTACGATGCGACCGTTTGAAAGTGTTTGCTGGAAAATCATAATATCAGAATCAAGTCAGCGAGGCCATTCTGATGCCCAGTAGCCAAGTGGTTAAACCGCTCGCTCGTCACGCCGAAAACCCGAGTTCAATTCCCAATATGGGTACAATGTGTGAAGCCCTTTCTGGTGTCCCCGCCTTGATATTGCTGAAATATTGCTAAAATCTGCTAAAAAACATATTCACTCACTCCTTGATGCTTCACTCGCTTTATTCACTGTGACCACTCCCATCAATAATATTTAAGTGGTATTTTTGTAACTTGTCAACCTAAACCCACCTGGTGTGAGTCTGGCAGGACAATGACAGTGGAAGACTCCTGTTCCCCCGTGAGTTTCCAGAACAAGGAAGCTGTGGTGACGGAGGGGGCCTCAGTCAACAGGTAGCCTTTCACAGACAGATGGGACTGAATGAAGAATACTTAGTTTTAATGTACCACTTTTTTTCTGAAGGAAATATGATATTGTCATTTACTTTGTTAATTACATTTGACTTAATTGAACAAATACCAAATTCAAGGTCTGGCAAGACGTTTGAACCTAATGTTAGAAACAGTTTGTGATGACTTTATAACCGGTAGGGCAGGACATACTTACTGTTGATGTTCAGTGATCCATTCTTACATTTTTCCCTGCTTTTTGAACAAATTAGAATTGTTCTCTCGCGTTGACGTTTTACACTTATAAAATACCTTTCGTTTACAAGTAGTTTCCAGGAACATCGTTTCACAAATAAAGTTCATTACCCGTGACATGACAGATAGGATGTCTGAGCGTCCATCTATCCACACACGACCTTTGTCAGGTGTACCTGAAACAATAGTTTATTTCATCTAAACTGGGGGACAAACGTAAGAAATACGAGTTAGCTCTTATTGTATTTAAAAATTGAAGCAATAATCAACCACGCACCATGTTTGAAATGTAGATTTGTGCCGAAAAAAAGGATATTTGTTAATTTTGAAAGATGACATGTCAAGGTGAAAAACTAGGAGTGCTGACTAAGCGCCAGTATAGTTCATGTTTGGGAATATTTTTCTAACTTAAGATATTTTCAACTGAAAATCAAACATATGATAAAATCAACTGAGAGGTATAATTTCTCTTTTACCTCAGTTTATTTTGTTTATTACTCAATCCCTAAAATACAACTACTAGTACTACAACTAGTACAATTAGTAGCAGTACTACTAATTATGGATTTTAGATTTTGACAGTTGACAAAAGGCATGCTTGTCGTAAATGGCGACTGACGGGATCGGGGGTCAGGCTCGCTGATTTTGTTAAATCGACTTTTTCGCTCACTGGATTGTCTGATATACCTGGGATTTGTGAGTGCAGCGTTGAACAACAATGGTACAGTGCAGAGTTTTATTACTAGACAATATACTTGAACGTCCAAATCGGTTTTGCAAATCATTCATTCGCGATCGTGTAAATGTCAGCTAACATTTCGTAAAGTTCCTAACTTTGGAACTTCGAGCTAAGTGATCTGTAAAAAGTGCGATTTAAGACGTTTAACAATTTGATAACCCAGCAGACATTGCGTGAAAATTTCACCTTGTGTCAGGAACAGTCTCCAATCATCTGCCCGTGTTCACATATTTTACATATATTCAACGCCAGTAAAGGATGTTGCTAGATGTACAAAATGACCATACTCACCCTTGGAGAGCTCCTCCCGTTGTGTATTCAGGGTCTGACACATTTAGAACACTATTACTACAGGTATAGACAGTATATAATTATGCGTTGTGAAGCACACATTAGTCAACAATTGCAATGAAAATGTAACAAACTACAGTTTAACAATGACAAAGCAGCTACCTTTATGAGTTTGTTGATTGCCATTCGTCCAATGTTGAATACCCCCCTTACACGTCGGCTGCTTCTGAATTCCTCAGCGCTGATGGAAGTATTGCCAAATTTCAGTGTTTCAAACAGTGCCATATATACACATCGGTACTGCTCCTACGGAATAAAACATTCAGGGTTGATGTTGTCTTTGGTGAAGGAGCCTTAAGCTAAAGCCGGACTCCACACACATTTATAGTGCCTTGGTTTCCTAACGGCTCACTCACAATAATAACTGAAAAAGAACTTGTTCGTCCCACAGCCGTGGCAGAACAATTCAACCCTTCGTGAATTACCAATTGCAAATATTGCCAATACCAATATTTCTACATGGTGTTACATATATAGATGTTGGTTCTTGTTGTCGTGCATTGTGTTATACATGGTTACAGTGACTCGCCTTGGTCTGTATCAGTCCCTTCCTCTGGTCTCTCATCCCTGAGATACAACCAAACACATCCACCTTTTGATCAGCCAGAGCCTGGTCCAGCAGGTAGTCCACAGCGATGTACGTCCCTGTCCGGCCGACCCCAGCACTAAAGTCAGAGTCAATGACGTACATCGGTGTGCATAATAACGTCGATCCAAGGCTAGTCTGGTCCAGACTCAATTATTTATAGATGGACGTCATATGGCTGGAATATTGCTGAGTGCGACTGTATAAACACTCAAGCACATTTTTGCGTGATTGTGTTGATTATGCACTAATTAAACGCTTTTTATAATGTTCATACCTTATCTATTTTTTAAACACAGTTCCTAATCACTTGATTTTAGCATATTTAAAAGAAATAAAACTGAATGACAAAATATAGATTTTTATCTGAACAGTCAGCTTTTGCCATTGAATGTGATATTGAATGATGTTTTAGGGATTTTCAGCATCACTTTTGATATGGTTGTTTCCATATGGTCAGATTAAACATTTTCTCGCCGCGAATAGCTGCAAGATTGCTGATGCGGCGTTAAGCAAACATAACACACTCACCCATTTATAAACACTGCCTGTTGCGTGACATTATACAATGGAAGTTCATTATCAATCAATCAAACATTTTATTCTTCAAAAACCACCAATCGTGGTTCAAGAGCATATACTTACACATATATGGTAATACATGACTTGATCGCAATAACCACAGTAGTAGTTGTTTGGTTGGTTTGTTGTTTTACGCCGCACTCAGCAATGTTACAGCTATATGACGGCGGTCTGTAAAATAATCGAGTTTGGACCAGACAATCCAGTGATTGATATCATGAGCATCGATCCACGCAATTGGGATCGATGACCTGCATCAACCACATCAGCGAGCCTGACCACCCGATCCCGTTAGTCGCCTTTTCCGACAAGCATAGTCGCCTTTTATGGCAAGCATGGGTTGCTGAAGACCTATTCTACCCCGGATCCTCACGGGTCAACCACAGTAGTTAAGTTTAAAGTGCTTCCACAAAGTATAAATAAAATTGCTAGTGTGTGTGTGTGTGTGTGTTTGTGTGTGTCGGAAATAAGACTCTTACATTTAGTTTCTTGTTTTATTATACTCTTTCGAGCAGCCGGTCTCTACAGCTCTTAGTAATTTCACGTTTCCATTTTTTGTATATATTGGTCTTTTAAGGCTGTGTCGATTGTGGCGGTAAGCCATTGTTTTCCCTAATTTCTGGGATAATCACGTGTGATAATCCACAATTGTGGAGAGTTGTTTGATACAATTTAACCAGTTATTATGTGTAGAATTGCAGTGTGATGAAAGTGTACATATACATTTGATAATTTGAATAGGAAATTACTAAATTTCAGTTTATGTTAGAACCTTATCATTCTTTTCTTAACAGAAATTCTAAGTGAATATCTTCCAAGTTCACCATACACAACAAATGTTGGGGTTGAGCTTCTAAGTCCAGCAACAAGTTTTCAAAACATTTAGGTGAATGCTTTCTTTTGAAATAGGTTTTTCATGTCCCCAAACTTCTGAGCCGTATGGAAAAACAGGCACACATAAAAAGCTTTCAGTAATGTAGATTAATATCACATACCCTTTGGAAGTACATACATTGCTTCAGTCGTGCTATAAACTTAACATGTTAAAGATGTGATTAATCTCATGTTCCTGTGAAAACTAATACCAAGATATGTGTAATTATGTACAACTTCTATTTTTTTTCTAATCCGTATTAAAATTAAAGTGTGTTTGCTAACCCCTCCCTGAAAACTACAACATCAAGCTTCGTAATATAAGAATATTCATAAAATGCATTTAATGTTTTTTGAAGATTTTTTTTACTTTCTGCCATGATAACCGTGTAATCTCGCAACTCTTTTCCACACGTTTATACTGCATCTCTCCCTCTTTAGTAATAAGAATAATTATAGGGCGTGTCCTGCCAACCCTTGGGCATTTGTAGGGGGACGTTTTCTACCTATTCTATCGACACTTTTAAACTGATTTTTATAACCGTCGGTGTTCATTTCCTTGAGATTAAATCTCGGATTACTGGTTCACTATCCTCTACTTCATACTGACCAGAAGCCAGAGTAAATAGCAGGTTGTCACGCAACGTTAGCTTTTATATCACAAATATATTGTTCTATGATCTCAAGTTTAACTCCAATCGTGGTTAGCTTTTCAAGAATGGCTGAGCTATTATCGCCATGTCCGGGTGGTTGAACATATCGTACCTGTTGGGAGTTTCCATCTGCTGGAGTAGAGGAAAGTATATGCTGTGGTTGGGTTGGTGTGGTCAGTGGAGACAATGTTCAATTATTCTCTTACCACGCTCACGCTTACAACTTGAACGGTCGGCGTGGACAAGGCCATGTTTAATGATACTGAATGAACCGTGTCGCTTGAGTTGGAAAATTTGTTTACTGTCTTTTCGCTCCTCGACCCTTCGTGTGTTTTCTTGTCGTTTTCATCATCTTATTGAGCTAACCAGGCATAATTGCAACCCCCATGACTAGACGTAGAATTAACGGGCTTCATGGTTAGGAGAGTTCGACATTGACACATCCTCATAACCTTGCGATCAAGTTCATGTGTGACGACTTCTTTTAATACTGTCCACTAGTATCCCCTGTAGTTTCAGATGAGAGCCATTAATTCAATACAATTTAATATCCACGATCAGAGCTTTACACAGCACTGTTATATGTTGAACTACTCGACACATGTAGTGCACGGTTTTTCATGAAACAAGTTCGCTCACCTGCAGTGTACCAGGAGAGGGTCGTCCTGGGTGTTGTATGACGTCCTGACCAGCCACAGAAACTCAGTCAAGGCCGTCTCCTCAGGGGTCCCATGATCCGGCCATGTTGTGAAGTGGAAATGGTGGAAACATCTTCTTGTGTTTGTCTGAAGGTATGCCAAACAAGACCCTCAGGGGAGTGCGGTTTACCCAAGACAGAAAAATAATGATTCTCAGGATGAACAACTAACAAGTTTTATAATGAAATTGTAAATTGGCATACTTACACCATGGACATTTAATATACATTGATGATATACCTTGCTGTCTGCAACCTGCAGTTCCCTGACGACCCAGTGAGCCCGAATGCTTGAGTTGGTCACAGTGACGGTGAGGTCACCAGCGTTCATGTCCGATGTGTCACACCAGTATGCTTCACACTTAACCTTCAATTGACAAACAGCTATCTTGAGAAATACATGAACATTGTTTTTCACAAGCTTTATGTTACATACATATTACTGGAGTTTGATATTTCAGTTTTTAAAAAAACCTACACAATCTTACAACTTAAATCATGACCGGAAACAAATCTTTGCTGCCAGATGTGTTTTTGTACAAATTGAGATATTTGTCAAAAGGATGTATAAATTTAATTTTTTCAAGAATAGAGAATAAGGTTCTGCAGAGGTTGCAGAATCATGACAAGCCAATGTAACAAATTCATGTTCAACACCAATATGGCCTTGGTTTTCCAAACACATAATATCTGTACTATAAATGATGACTGGCGGTTGTCAAAAAACGTACCCTTCCCAGCTCCATCAGGTTTGTGAGCATGACGATTCTTGTACAGTTCTGTTCCCAGATCATTCTCCAGAAATCAGGCAAGGTCATAGTGGTAGGAGCTTTGCAGAATATATATATATATATATATATATATATATATATATATATATATATATATACGTCAACGACGGATAATATCAATCACTGGTGATGGAAATGATGTGAGAGAATCGCTGAAAGTCAGTGATGACACAAGGTGTTCACGAAAACATATATGTTGAAACTTGTTACAGTTATTTTGCAACACCATTCCCATAAAACGTAAGTGTTTGTTTATTGTCCGATGCCACACGCAGCAATACTCCTGCAACATTAAGGTGGCCTGAAAACAATCGAGTCTGGTGCAGACAATACAGTAACCGGCTTCAGGTGCTTAGATCAACGCTGTTGTGGTACCTCGCCTTATGTATCAACCGAATCACAAATCAGATCTGTTTTAGCAGGTACCAGAGCATAAAGAGATGTGAATCGCTCTGTAAAGATCACAGTATGAGGTAGTATCGCGCATGTTTTCACTATGGAAGGGCCAAGACCATGTCCATTATCACAAACTATCACGGCGTGAGCAAGGTCTATTGTACGATTCCTGCTATATCATAGCGATCTGTTTATGAATCACTATCAATTAGTGAGGATACACTCGCTGTGCCATGTCCAGTAAATTCCACTGAATGTCTGCATAAACGTCCGGGAATGACAGGACCATGTCAATGATGGTGAAACCTTGACTTTAAAGCTTAGCTTGAAATGAAATCGCCTTTAGCTGTTGCTGATGGCGTATTGAAAGACACGAAGGGGCATTCACAATTGGAAAATGGAAATCATACCTATCCGCATACGTCTTGATACAAATCATTTTTCAGAAATCCACGCTTGCCGTAAAGGGTGTCTATGCTTTGTCGTAAGAGGCGACTAACGAGATCGGTTGGTCAGGCTAGCTGACTTGGTTGAAGCATGTCATCGATCTCAATTGCGTAAATCGATGCTCATGATATCAATCACTGGATTGTCTGGTCAAGACTTATTTACAGACCGCCGTCATATAGCTGAAATATTGCTAAGTGCCATGAACCAAGTAGCCATCATTTTAGATTGTAATGCACATATTCAGGTAGGACAAAGGATATGGTTTCTCAGTTGTTACTTTGATTTCAAACTCTGAGAAATTGGAAAAAGAATTAATGCCTTCTATATTTATATATCGTCAGTTCAAAACTATAGTCGAACATAAACCTTTTTGTGATACTCTTTTTGACATCGCAAGGAGTGAGAATACACACGTTATTAGACATCATCAGGCATGTACGGGTTACAATAATAATTGTTTAATTGAATCACCTTTTGTCTGGGTTATCACATCAGTAGTATACACTGTATGGGCCTGATCCATAATAACCTTGTATATACGTACCAGAAAAGATCATCACGCATTTGCTGATATGAACATCCTTACCTTGAGCTGCTATGTAGGCTTTCGGTCGTGAGTATCCCTATTTGAAATAAATATGATCACCATTAAAAGTGATACACTGTGTAAAAGTAACAAAAACATTTATAATTTATAATCATAAACATTTTTTACTCACATGGATGTAGCTGGCATTGATGTAGTCGGAACCAGGCCTCCCTGGCAGTTCAGTCAACACGACTCGAGTAGCATCATCTGTTACATTGGAGAAAAGTATGAATACGCTCCATCCATCCATCCATCCATCCAAACATCTAAACACACATTGGACAATGGGTTCCGAATTCTGACAGACCTGCTTCATGGCTATAGATAGGTTAACGTAATCAAAGTGACACCAAGAAAGAATAGTGATATTTGTTGCAGATGTATGCACGCCCTGTATGTATATTCGCACAATAAAGTGCAATGACTAAATAGAAAAAAAGGCATATGTTCACCCATCGTAGCCCAGATAGTTAGGCCCTATGTACAATCAAATATTGTTCTTACTGGAAAGTGTTCACAAGTACAAGCAAAAACAGACGCTGTCCGGTCGCCACCATGTCACCATATTTTCCAGTATGATGAAATTCATGCTTACAGCAACTTCATATCAAATTGTGTGCCTTGCCTCTAACTAACATAGGCTGTGGTTTAAAGATATCACGTCTGAGTGACGAAAATAGAAGTATTGTAGAGGAAAACGTTCAACCAAATGTCCAATGTCTGCAGCTATCTCGGGAAGAAAAGTGTATTTACATCCGATTCAATAACCATGACCCTTAATTTCATTCAACCACATGTTTGCCTATCTATAGTTGAACATATGGGTGCAAGCTCTCACAGACAAGTCAAACAAATAAAGTGAGCTTGGGTCAGTGCATAACGAAGCAGAACTACCTACCTAAATTCCCTACTTTGACTTAAACCACAGGTTCCCGTACTTTGTCAAGTAAACAATTGACTTGCCTTCGCATGCGATTTAGGGGTAAGGTTAGTAGACATGTCCTTTAAAAGAAATGTTTTTGTCACTTATATGTACAAATTATCATCACAGTTACCTTGACCTTCACTGAAGTGAAGTGGCACGCCAGTGGCAATCAAAGCACGGGAATTTATGCAAACACTATTACTGTGAAGTCCTAAATAATATCTTTCCCAGACGTTGATTTTAAGCATTATGGAAAACAAGAACAACATGGAGACACTCACATGGGTAGTAACTTACACTGCAAACACGAAAACGTCGTTTTTTTCCGTATATGGTCATTGGACGGAAAAACGACGTTATTTGGACGTTTTCAAACCATCGTTTTTCCGTCCAAATAACGTCGTTATTTGACATCGGAATTTACTGGGAGAGAACGATAGCGTTAAGCTCCTCCCTTTCTTGATTGACATTGTCAATCAAGCAACAGCGTCTACCGGTATTTCTACTTCTCAGATTTCATTGGTCAGTCCCCGCGTGTTAGATTATAGGCCCGCGTTTGACGGTGCACTCGAAGCGCTTAGCGGAAGTACTGAAATCAATCGTTCTGCGCATGCGGATTACCTAATGCCTTGACCAAATTTTCCGTTCTGTGCATGCGCGATTTCGCGTATTGTTTCCTAGATTTAATGTCACCACTATTTGACAATGGTTCATAAACACAGTCACGTGAAGGTTCGGAATCGTAACGAGTAACTCCATTTAAATTGAAGAGGATCCCGAGTGATATGGGAGATTCCAAGATGAAACTATTCTATGGCTATCTAGGCTGCATACCAAACCGATCTAAACGGGACCCGATAGCTTATTGTATGCTATATAGTCATATGGAAGTGGACAAGAACTATACATTGTATTCCGGCCGATTGTTCTTGCATTTACTTATAAGTCAGGAAAATGGACTTAAAAGGGGAGTTGTTGAAAGTAATTATCTTAATTATTAAATGTTGCCTATACACTAATCTGGACGAACTTCTCATTGTTCTGTTTATGTCATCCTATATACTATTAGTATGTTACTGTTCTAAAGTCAACCTCTCACATAACATTATATTGTTCATAGTATCAAAGTTTAATCAACAATATCAAGAGCAGCGATTTTGACCACCGAAACACCCAAACACAAGGGCTCTGGCTGTTATCAAGCGCTAGTGCAGACGTGATGCATCGTAAAAACTGTATCGTGATGTCTTCAGAAATTCAATTATACTACGAGATAGTACGGCTAACGCTGACTCACCGGTGGAACAAAGACAATATCGCTAATACAGATATAACGTATTTGAATATTAATACTAAAGACAAACAATCATTATTTTTGCAGTGACGATACAACACGTATACACGTTTATTGTTAACTTTCATCAGTTTTGCTCTTCATTTTAATAACTTTGTTTTCACATATATATGTAGCAATACCCGACAAGCATGTCATACATAATTATGGGGCAGTTTTCAATCTTGTATTGACTTACTCTGGTGTTAATGAGCGAAGTTTATTGGCTTGTGTGTAAAACCCCGTTTTTCTGGTAATCCTATTATTACTTAGTTTATTTCTATCTAATGACACCCTGTTCTCTGGATCATTGCTCCGTGACTATCCATAACAATTAAGATGAACATTCAGTTCAAGTAAATGAATGAGTTTGTTTTGACGCTACAGTCAGTCAAAAAACCAATGCTGTGAGGTTTGATAACACACTTCTACCAGGTCGAACATCGTTGATCCTCATTTTCTGCCTAAAGAGAATCATAGTTCATATGCTAATTCATCTGCGAATACCCTCCCACTCAAGATGACCTTACGTGTTGCTAAATCTATCATCTATCCCCCCAATCTCACCCCCCCCCCCACCCCCCACACGCACGCACGCAAACACGCACACACGCACACACACACGCACACACACACACACACACACACACACACAAACAACTGACCTAAATAACCTGGACAGGAAATACTGCTGTTAGCCTCTGGTCAACTCAGCCGCGCCACCGCAGAATGTTCGTCCAACTCTGCAGGGGGCATTCTCAGTGGCTTCAAACGCGCTGAAATGTTTTCGCCTAGCATCCAAGATGGTGGACAAGTGAAATCGTATGAAATTTGGCTATTTTAGGTCCTATCTCTTTTTTGATTACCCAATAAAGTCAATTCATAGTTACACGGTTGTGAAGAAGCTTACAACTTTATAAGACTTATTCATCTCATTCTAAAAAAGCTACTCGCTCTCACATAAAGTTGTAGTTATTATGTCACTGTTTTATTTCTTTAAAAATATATTACATGTTCAACAATAACAATTAAGATGAACATTCAATTTCCGATATAAGTAAATGAATAAGTGTGTTTTACGCCACAATCAGTCAAAGACCAACGTTGTCCGGTCTGATGACACACAATCTACCAGGTAGCACATTGTGTACACCCTATCCCAATTGAAGTCTCCACTGTGGGTATTCCTGGGGACGAAAAGGCCCCATGTACCTAGGAATTTCATCAATACATTCATGCGCAGCATTCTCTGCCTAAAGAAGATCATTTAGTTAACATGCTAATCCAACTCGAACTATAAAGATAAATGTTTTATGTAACATCCAACAGGCCCACATTTACGCACGCAAGCACGCACGCGCACATATATTTGGATTTACCAATCCCTGAATTGAGAAGACGTGCGTTACGAAACTCCTCCAAGTCATCATCAATATCCGTATATGGCTGTGATATCATTACCCATCCAAAGCCGAATATACATTTATTGTGTTTTCTTGACAACATATGTTATAATTGGGATAACACTTTCTGAGTAAAGTACAGATTCTCGTACTTTCTTGGGTTGTATGTGTATCAGTTCTTAATGCCCTTCACAGACTCAATCTAGCTTTGTTTTTTAATGTGGTGATACTTGCGTAGAATATAATATTGTCATGCCTATATACATTTGGGTCTTTGTCTACATAAGCATTAAGACATACAATTTAGAGCTAAGGACATTGCTAATTCTGCAGGCATGAAGTACACGCCACAGCAAGCTGTGATCTTTATTCATACTTTAGATATTCGTAATGGAGATCTGTAACTGAAGTTTATCGTAATCTTCCGCAACTCTCACCTTCTGACCAGTTGAACGTCTTAGTGCATTCAGATGCCATTGTAAAATTCCAGGCTGCCCCTCTTTCTGTGATGTTTTGACGGATGAAATCTATTGCGTTATAATAATCTCTGTTTGCTGATATATAATATGTACATGTTGTAAAATATTTACGATATTTTAAACGTGTAATTCGATGCATATGCAATGCAATGTGAACATAAGTGCGGATGCACGAAGGCGGTTATAGTCATAGTTATACTGCGATGGATGTAGGGGAATGGTAGGGGGGTGTATGTATGTATGAAAGCACGAATACCGATACATGAGAGCGGATATAGTTATAGTTCGATGGATGTTGGGGAATGGTGGGAGGATGGATTATGTATGAAAGCATGCGCATGGATCCATGATGGCTGACGTAGACATAATGGTGGGGAAAGAAGAATGTGATGTGTGTGTGTGTGTGTATGTGTGTGTGTGTGTGTGTGTGTGTGTGTGTGTGTGTGTGTGTGTGTGTGTGTGTGTGTGTGGGTGGGTGGGTGGGTGCGTGCGTGCGTGCGTGCGTGCGTGCGTGCGTGCGTGCGTGCGTGCGTGCGTGCGTTGTGATACGAGGGTTGGCGAACATGTTGTCAGATGATTGTGTGAGTAAGTTAAGTGGTTGAGGATGTGGCAGGTATGAGTATTGATACATGCAGACTTGGGGTTGGGGGACTGGGTGTGCCTGTACTGAGGTATTTTGTTTCACTTACTTATAGTGTTTTCTTTCACTCAAATACTGTTTTACGCATTTTAATGACTGAAACTGTAGTGACTCAAAGGTCATACTGGCCGGGCATTCAACATATCTACCCCAACTACATACGTAGCCATTTTTATGGTGTACAATTCTTCTTCTACCTCACACACACACACACACACACACACACACACACACACACACACACACACACACACACACACACACACACACACACACACACACACACACACACACACACGCATTAATTGTTTTATTAAATGTATCTTCGAGAGTCAGTAAGAAACTAGAAATAACTGCCTTTGTTCTGTAAACCTCACCAAGTTTCAGCTTTCGCCTCTTCCTTTGTGGACTGAGGTTTCACATTTGTAAAATGATCTCTCTTATCTGTCTGTACCATCAACTTAACTGCCCTCACCCCCTGCAGTTTTCCCGTTCCATATTGCTAAGCAGGTGACCCACAAGGAGGAATACCGCCCTCCCTCAGTCCAGTGATACTGTGCCTAGCACAATATGTTGGGGATACGTAGCCTTGCTGTGGGCAAACATTTTGTAACAATTTGGCAAACTTTGATATGTAAACAGCAAATATTATTCAGTTTTATTTCAACCAAAACGGAAAAAATCGGATCCTACTTATTTTGTGGATACCATAACAATAAATCAAGCCAATAGATCGTTTGAGCTGGCATGAATATAAAAAATAATTAGCAAGTCGATAGTCATAATTCCCTCTGTTGGTCCCACGTGAAATGTTCTCCATGAATATAATAGATGGCTGATAGACGTTCGACCGAATAATATCATTTGCTAACTTCAACTGTTCATCTAATTTCCATGAATGTATGTTACATAGTTCATATGTTCATGGGCTTCTTCACTGAATGTATAGTGTGGAGGACTACTTCACTTGAGGATAAGTAACATAAATAATGATGATAATTATGATAGTATTGCCATTATTATTCCTTCAGATTATTAAAAAAAATGTTATTATGTTTTCATAGAGAGAAAGAGGTATGGAGATTGTGAGATTATTTTTAGCATCGGAATCGTTAACATAATTCTTAAAGATATTATGTTTTGTTTGTTTGTTGTTAAATGCTGCACTCAGCAACGTAAGGATATTAAAACATTACATTTAGGTTCAGTTGTATTTTTATATTTGTATCATTTTGCAAATGTTACAGAGACCTGATAAGGGATATATAATAATGTATAGTCGCTATTCTTAAAGTAAGAATATGTTAGATTTAACAACCAGAAATATTGCACAGAAGAGGATAATCATATTTCATGACACTATTCAACGTCGAAGTCAACGATATTTGTGTATGTTATTGCTACATGACACGGATACGTCATTATAAAGCAATTAGAAATT